TACTATTAATAACAATTATGTAGTTGTAACCAGTGTGCGAAATTCAATGTTCTCAATGTTCTCTGAGAACATAAAAATTTTCGGTTAGGGTTAGTGTGAGAACATAAAATTAAATTTGAAGTTCACACACTGTTTGTAACATCCATTTGCATTTGGAGTCGGCTTTAAATCCAAAACATTATAAACATTTTGTAGCAGTTAAAGCTGAGATTGGCTGATGCTGAGAATTTAATATGAAAAATTTAACATTTTTAGAACGTTAGAACGTTTTTTTAGGGTTAGGATTTAGGGCAATAAAATGTAGATTTTAATAGAGGCTTAACCTCAGCTTCAGCCGCCATGTTATTTATCTTAAACAAATATGTATATAACGATAAATATACTGCATTACAATGATATTTAAATTTAGTACAGGCCGAGTCGAGGATTATGAATTTAGGAAATATCGAAAAAAGTGAATACTTGAGAAATTCGGGAAATATATAATATAGAAAGAATAATCGACCCGACTTAGTAGACTTGGCCGATTTTTAAGATCAACTTAGTCGAGTCGATAAAAGATTCCACATAAGATATAATTTATAACAAGGTACAATTTATAACGTAATGAACAGTATATGAGAATGTGTTTTTACACAAAGGTGACAAATTTTTTAATATCAAGATATTTCACTACAATTTTGCATAAATTTTTTTTTTTAGTTTTAAATTACAGATAATGTTCAAATCCTAAAACAATTATTTATTTGTCAGCATTGTAAAAATTTGCAAATATGCATTTAATCATTTTTCAACTTAATCACCACCAAGCATCGCTCTTTAGATCCGGTTTAACAGTACTATTAGGTTGATTTAAATTGGTATTGTTCTCTGAATTTTGAACCCAACCACTATTACCCTTTGACCAATTAGGGATCTCCCTAGGTTCATTACTTCTTCCACGTGGCTCTTCGACAAACTTATCCGAGGATTGAGCACTCCAGGGTGGATTCATTTCATTTCGAGTTTTGTTCAAATTCCAAGAATCTGTTTGAGACTTGTCAGATTTAGTTCCCCAGGATGTGTTTGCTTCGGTTTGTGACTTGTTAGTGGCTTGAGAACCCCAAGGGTCAGTTTGAGACTTGTCAGCTTTAACACCCCGGGATGAGTTTGTTTCAGGTTGTGACTTATCTGCAGTTTGAGAACCCCAGGTATCACTCCGAGATTTATCGGCTTTAACACCCCAGGATGAATTAGGTTCGGTTTGTGACTTATCAGCAGCTTGAGATCCCCATGGTTCATTTTTTTGTGGCTTGTCGGCTTTAACACCCCAGCCTAAATTTGTATCATCTCGTGGTTTGTCAGTAGCTTGAGAACCCCAAGTATCACTTTGAGATTTGGTTTTAGCACCCCAAGATGGGTTTGTTTCTGTTTGTGACTTGTCAGCAGTTTGAGGACTCCATGGACCATTTTGAGATTTATCTGTATCAGCTCGTGGTCTACCAGTAGTTTGAGAACCCCAAGTATCGCTTTGAGGCTTGTCAGCTTTAGCTCCCCAGGATGAATTTATTTCTGGTTGTGACTTATTTGCAGTTTGAGAACCCCATGGTTCATTTCGAGACTTATCAGCTTTACCCCAGGATGAATTTGTTTCGGGTTGTGACTGATCAGTGGGTTGAGAGCCCCATGGTTCATTTTTTTGTGACTTGTCAGCTTTAACGCCCCAGCCTAAATCTGCATCAGCTCGTGGTTTATCAGCAGTTTGAGATCCCCAAGTATCACTTTGAGACTTGTCGACTTTAATACCCAAGCCTAAATCTGTATCAGCTTGTGGTTTGTCGGAAGCTTGAGGTTTGTCGGCAGCTTGAGAACCCCAAGAATCAGTTTGAGGCTTGTTAGTTTTAACACCCCAGGATGAATTTGTATCAGCCTGCGATTTATTAACTGTTTGAGAGCCCCAAGAATCAGTTTGAGGCTTATCGGTTTTAGCACCCCAAGGAGAATTTGTTCGAGACTTGTTTGGAGCTTGAGAATTTGTTCGAGGCTTGTTTGGAGCTTGAGAACCCCAAGAATCGGTTTGAGGTTTATCTGTTTTAACACCCCAAGGAGAATTTATTCGAGACTTAGTTGTAGCTTGAAAACCCCAAGAATCAGTTTGAGACTTGCCTGCTTTAGCGGGCCAGGGAGAATTTGTTTCAGTTTGAGATCCCCGAGGATCGCTTTGAGACTTGTCAGCAGCTTGAGCACTCCAAGGAGCATTTGTTTTAATCTGAGATTTGTCTGCCGTTTGAGAACCCCAGGAATCGTTTGGAGACTTGTCAGCGGCTTGAGCACCCCATGAATTTGGTTCAGTTTGAGGTTTGTTAGTGGTTTGAGAACCCCAAGGATCGCTTTGAGACTTATCTGTGGCTTGAGCGCTCCCTGAATTTGTTTCGGGTTGATATTTGTTTGTAGTTTGAGAACCCCAGGGATCACCTCGAGACTTGTCCGTGGCCTGAGCTTGAGCACCCCATGAATTTGTTTCAGTCTGAGGCTTGTTAGTGGTTTGAGGACTCCAAGAACCGCTTTGAGATTTGTCCGTGGCCTGAGCTTGAGCACCCCATGAATTTGTTTCAGTCTGAGGCTTGTTAGTGGTTTGAGGACTCCAAGAACCGCTTTGAGATTTGTCCGTGGCTTGAGCACCCCATGTATTTGACTTGTTAGTGGTTTGAGAACCCCAGGAATCGTTTTGAGGTTTGTCTGTGGCTTGAGCACCCCATGTATTTGTTTCAGTTTGTGATTTGTCTGCGGCTTGAGAACCCCAGGGATTGCCTCGAGACTTATCCGCATTCCATGAGTTTGTTTCTGTTTGTGCTTGAGCACCCCAAGAATTTGTTTCTGTCATCGATTTGTCTGTGGTTTGTGCACCCCAAGAATATGATTCAGTTTTATGAGGCCATTCATCATTTCCACCAGCCGTAGGGCAGTCTTTTGATAAATGATTTTCATCCCCGCACTTAAAGCATTTTCGTCTGCTTTTTCTTGGTTCAGTACAATCACGGGAAATATGGCCCTCTTTACCACAATTGTGGCACGTTTGGCCACCAAATCCTCGAAAACCTTCTCTTTTCTCACCTTCGGAACCAGTCGAATAAATTGAGCCAAGTTAGATACCAGTCAACGTGTTTAGCAAAAAAATATAATAAAATACTTACTCTCGTTGTCGCAATCTCTAGCTTGATGCTCAGTTGAT